TTGAGATATGTAAATTGACATCTATGTATCTGTAAGTGTTATTGGAATTATATCTTAATATTTCATTTGCATTAGCAATACTATTCTTTATAAATTCATATTCCATGAAGGCTAAGGTTAAATCAGCTATTTGTGCTACATGAAGCTCTTTGCGGAATGCCCTTGTCTGTATACTATCCCAGTGTAGCATTAACTATTGTATGGAGTCTACCATGTATGGTATATCTTCCGGCTGGTAATAATTACCGTACCTATGTTAACATTAGTATAGCTCACCTTGCCTTTAAATAATCTCTCATGCTTATAAACTTTTATGTGTAAAGCCAGAGGTTGTTAAGATTATTCCCAACTATCATGTGTGCTAGACTAGTAAAAAGACTGGAAAAGTCTGCTGAGAACACTTCCAAACCTTTTCTGCAACTCATTTCTTTAACTATTTTATTGCTAGTCTATAATCCACAAATGTTTAATCCTAGTTCTTTTAAAAACGACATTACAGTAATTCACAAAGTGGTTTCTTATATGCTTAGGAATAAGTGTTAGCACTTTTGTAAGTGGTTTTATTGCGCTTTTTGGCCCCAGTAATGAATCTAATTTTAATAGGCACTTTATGCATCTAGGTATACCTAAATTCTGGGCACTTCCGTTTTGTTCTGCTATTTAGCCCCTTAAGAACTTGCATGTACTTACAAAAATTCAATCTATTGCGCTCAAATAGCAAAAAAAGAAGCTTAAACTTGCAAGGCCTCAGCTCGCGCCATCTTTTATTGTTATAGCGCCTTTCAATTTCCGAATAACAGTAATGATCCGTGGTGTAGTGGACAACTCTTCTACTGCTATTTATTACTATTTATACTCTATAGGTACTATCTAGCATTCGTAGAAAAGCATCTATTCACTGGGAAAAGTTTGAAAAGCAGTATTGAATTGGACCTCAATGTACTTTACTACAAAGCTTTCGACTTTTCCTTATAGTCGTAGTTCTGCTTTGCCAACTCCCATACCATATCTTCGCAATCCTTAACACACTATTCAAAAGTAGAAAGAACTGCTGTCGATAGGTGTAACCTGTAAATGCTTCATTCTGCTTTCCTCCTTGCTAATCAGCATCCATTGTGAAGAAAATTCTTTTTGAGGGTCAGATCTAAAATGGGACATTTTTGAACTATCAAAACAAATATTCTGTCACAGCATTGAAAAGAAACAAACGTTTAAAATGGGAAAATTAGTATTTGCAAGCATTCCGTACAGACCGCTACAGACTAACTATTTTCAATTTATCCGCCCTCAAGCACTGAATTAAAATCTACAACTTTCAAAATTCAATCTCTTCGTTCATGTTCGTGTGCTTTAACGTGATGGCCATTTCTGTAGATGTTCAACGTCTGTTTTGCACAGAGATAATAATCTATCGGAGAGCAACTTTTAACACAAGTCTCCCAGAGACTCCGACTGAGCGGAGACCAAAAAAAGTTGTTCTGAAGTTGACAGCACCTCTTTTCGACCTTGGCATGAGCTAGCGATGCAAACGTTTGTATTTCATAATGACATTGTCTTCCAGATTTTTGAATTTAAGCTTTAACCCTTTTTTGGGGCGCTAAACTTCAGCTTCTCAATTCAAATGAAGACATGAGTTGAAAACTAGTTATCGGGCTCTTTCAAATACGGGGAAGAGCAGTCGCTAAGAGTATGTGGCTGTCCAAAGTAGTTGCGCTTAACTTGAAGGTTTGAAAGTGCGAAGCAATCTTAAACCCACTATTGCGTTATTAGACACCTTTGATTGCTAACTCACTTTCACTACCGTCACCTAGTGAGATTTGAAAACTCTTGATCTAAAGTAGATGCTGCTTCCTATGTTAACTACTACTATATCTCAGTCCGCTTTACTGATATGTGATTTCAAGTAGTATCTAGTATTTAGTCCGTTAAGGCCTCTCGTCAGTCAGGTTTTCAAGTCTTTCAAAGATGTTCCTT